TGGGAACCTGTGCCCTTCAATATACTCATAAAAGAGCTGGAAAAGGGAGACGGACGATAGTGACGTGCCAAAATCTGCTGATGGCATAGAGTTCTTCCAGGTAAGCAAAAGTAGACATGGCTACAAAAAAAAAAAAAAGTTGCAGAAGAGTCTGACAATATCAAATGTCTGGGCAATAAAATAGCTGCTGAAATTCCACGTCGATAAAAGTCAAGTGCAGACTCAATGATAGGGTTGAAATTAGCCCGCGAAAGAGGTCCTGGCGTCATCGCAGATGGTTCTTTGCAAACGTCTGCTCAGTGCTCAGCAGAGGTCAGAAAGGCAAGTGGGATGCTACGAATTGCTGGGAAAGAGAGGGAGAGTAAAAGCGAAAATCTAAGTACGCCACCGAGTAAATCCATGGTGATCTTGAATAGAGTGCAATTCCAGTCACCCCGTCTACAGTCTGGCAGGAAAATAGAAGTAGAAAAGATGCAGAGAAGGGCGAGAAAGCCACCCTGGGTTATGGAATGGGGAGTCTGAGCCTGTGAAGCTCGCTGAAGAAATGAATGAACAGGATTAAGGCAGAGGAGTAAAATCAAGATTGCTCTGGGGAAAGTGAATAAGGAATTATTTTTTGCAGCATTGGATGCAATGACATTGTCAGGCAAGAAGTTTAAAGCAAACAGCAGAAAAAAAACTTGCACTGCCTATAATAAATTTGGAAACTCATCAAAAAAATCTTTTTTACATTCTGGAAGTACAGATTGTTTAAAAAAGTAGTAGTGCTGAGGTTCCTGGCGATGGCTCCAACATCTTCCTCAAGCACTTATCCCGAAGTACCAGGTTGGCCGTGTCCTCTACAGCTGGGAGAGACTGGGGTTCTGGTTTGGCTTGGCCTCTCACCAGTAGAACCTGCCAGGTTTTTTTTTTGGGCTGGATTATAATCAGTTAAAGGATCATTCTGATCTTCTAGTGTGAAGACAAAAGCCACAGAAGTCCCTTGCAAAAAATTTATTAAAAAAGATTTAATGAATCAGTTCTCTTTGAATTACAGCAGAGTATTTGGGGTGGGGGGAAAGATCCAGTAGTACCTTAAAACTTTCACAGAATCACAGAATGGTTGTGGGTTTGAAGGGACCTCTGGAGATCATCCAGTCCAACCCCCTGCCAAAGCAGGGTCACCCAGAGCAGGTTGCACAGGAACTTGCACTGGTGGGGTTTGAATGTCTCCAGAGAAGGAGACTCCACCACTTCTCTGGGCAGCTTCTTCCAGGGCTCTGCCACCCTCACAGAAAGGAAGCTTTTCCTCATGTTGAGATGGAATTTCCTGTGTTCCAGTTTGTGCCCCTTGTCCTGTCATCAGGTGCCACTGAGAAGAGTCTGGCCCCATCCTCTTGCCACCTGCCCTTTAGCTCTTGCTCAGCATCGATGAGATCCCCTCTCAGTCTGCTCTTCTCCAGCTGAACAGCCCCAGGTCCCTCAGCCTTTCCTCAGCAGAGAGATGCTCCAGTCCTTTCATCGTCTTCATAGCCTCTGCTGGACTCACTCCAGTAATTCCTGGTCGTTCTTGAACTGGGGAGCCCAGAAATGGTTACAGTTAAAGGTCTACAGTGATTAAAATGTCCCAAGGGTAAATTACACTCCCCCTAATTTGGGTCTTTCCCATCTCTGCGTGCAGCAGTGATTAAAATGTCCCAAGGGTAAATTACTCTCCCCCTAATTTGGTCTTTCCCATTTCTGCATGCAAAGGCTGCAGTAGCCCTTTTGGCTGCTGCCAATGGTAATGGGAGGTCACGTCGGATGGCTCAGGAATTTTGAGACAGCGAGGACTAAAAATTCTGCTGGAACAGGATTATCATCAAATTATGTCTGCCTTGGTGGCAGGAAATCAATCAAGAACAGGCTGATTTACACCTGCCCGAGCCAGCACATCATGAACTTTCCCAGTGATGTTTTTATCTTTGCATCGAGGCAGTCAGTGTGAGGAAAATAGTTTCCTGTTTAAAATCACAACATCCAAGGTAGAGTTCGGCAGAGGGTGGGGCCCTGGGGTCCCTGCAGCTCCTGCCAACAGCGCTGGTGTCTTCTGCTAATGACCAAAGTGCAATATAATGAGTTGTCTTGGGCTTCGGCTTTATTCGGCGCGCGGTGTTTTAACAGACTGTTAGTAATTCTGAAAGGGATAAATGATGTTTATGCCCTCTTGTGGTATGTTATTGAACGGAATGGATTTCCTAACTGACAAAATTAGGCCAATGATGGAAAACTCCCAGGTAAAAAAATCTGTAACGAAGACTGTTTTGCACAGTAGAAAAATATCCATCCCTCCAGCAGCATCCTCATGACTCAGTGAAGGGGGGGGGGAAGCCAATTTTACATGCATTTACAGCAGCAAGTAAATGACTAATGCCCACGATGACAGAGTTTGTGCCATCTTTCTGGAGTGAAGATAATTTAAAAAGTGCTTTTCTTTGCTAGAAAGGTTAGAAAGTGAGTGAAACACTGCTTTCTAAAAGCAGGTGTGTTGACACCTCTTTGTGTTAGTAGTTGCCGACCTGTTGTGATACATAACTTCACATTTCTTCCCTCACTCATCTGACGGGTAAATAATCTGATACTTTTGGGACAAAGTCTGTCCCAAAGATGAAAAATGCTGTTTGGTAAATTTTACCTGGGGAAATAAGGCCAGATTCCTGTGAAACAGGGCCTGTTACCCCAACGTGTTTAAGCCCAAAGATGAAAAATGCTGTTTGGTAAATTTTACCTGGGGAAATAAGGCCAGATTCCTGTGAAACTGGGCCTGTTATCCCAATGTGTTTAAGGACAATGAATTAACTGACCAACATTTTCCTCGCCTGCCCTGAGATTTTCAGTGTAAGGTTGGGAAGCGAGGGCTTTCCAGATGGATCATGGATTTTGTATCAATCTTACTGCTTCATTCCTGATTGAAAACATACAGCAAAATGACAGTGAAATTACCAAAATAAATCAGATTAATGCTCTACAGGGTCCAGCAACTGATCTCTGCCTGTGGTCAGTACTTGACTGTGCTGAAGCAGGATCTAGGAAACCGTGTTCTAGGAAATTCAGAGACTTTTTGGTCCCAAATAATCACCTGTTATTTAAGTTCTAGCTAATGCTATGAGGAAGCATTATTTCCATGACGTGTCATCTTTCTCTCTGCCCAGCCACCAACTATGCAGAAGACTGTTGTAATGAGGAAGGGAATGATTTCCTTTCTACATCCATGATGAGCACAACCACAACAGTGGGGTTAAATGAAAGTAAGGGGCTGAACTGGGCTAAGCTTTAGGAGAAACTCTCTAAGAGGAGGGTCAATATTGGAATGGCCTCCTTAAGGAAGCTGGAGGATCTCCATCTCCAAAGATCTTTCAGAAACAGTTGAAGAAATGTTTGCTGGGAGGAAGGAGGCTGTCATTCCTTGTATCATGATGGAAGAGGTTGGACTTGATGACAGGGCCACCAGCTCGGTTTTTGTGATTCTGTGTGATGATTTCCTTTTATTGGTTTTATTTATTAGTATGATGAGAAAACACCTATTTATCTGGTAACCTTAAATGCTAACACTTCAGTCTTACAGTTGATGTTACTGGTACTACTGGTACTGACTAGCCAGTCAAGTCTGGCTGATAGCAATGCAATTCTATCTGCATCCAGTACTTTACAAATATACTTTGCAAGAGTAGTCTGACGCCAATTAAAGTGCTTACGAGGTTATCATGGGCTTCTGTGACCACAAGTTCTGTCCCCACTGAGACAAGAATTGACACCAAAGTATTGCTGCTCACCAGTTTCCTTAGAAAAGGAAAATTCAGTAGGAAAAAATGTCACGGCAATTCATGTTAAAAAGAAATTTCCTCTGTCAGAAATCTTTCAGGAGTTTCAAATTCACTTAGAGAATATCAGAAAGAAATTAAAGTCTAATTTAAAATCCTCGCCTACATTCCTTCTTTTCCTTCAAAGCAATTGTTGCTCCTGGTCTACATTATCTGGTAACCTTAAATGCTAACACTTCAATCTTACAGTTGATTTTACTGTCAAGTCTGGCTGATAGCAATGCAATTCTATCTGCATCCAGTACTTTACAAATATACTTTGCAAGAGTAGTCTGACGCCAATTAAAGTGCTTACGAGGTTATCATGGGCTTCTGTGACCACAAGTTCTGTCCCCACTGAGACAAGAATTGACACCAAAGTATTGCTGCTCACCAGTTTCCTTAGAAAAGGAAAATTCAGTAGGAAAAAATGTCACGGCAATTCATGTTAAAAAGAAATTTCCTCTGTCAGAAATCTTTCAGGAGTTTCAAATTCACTTAGAGAATATCAGAAAGAAATTAAAGTCTAATTTAAAATCCTCGCCTACATTCCTTCTTTTCCTTCAAAGCAATTGTTGCTCCTGGTCTACATATTGGCAAATCTTTCAGAAATGAGCCATAATTTGCCTTAAAAATACCTTTCCGGTCATGATGGAACTGTTCTTTTGGAAGAATGGGTTTGCAGCAACTCTGTTAAAAGAGCCCAAATGCTCTTATTTCTCAATGACATCAGCAGAGCTAAAATTTCACCCAGAAATTCTGCTTGGGGTGAGGACATTTGGGGTGATTAGCACATTTCAAAGCTGAGGTGAAGTTCTTGGACACTGCAAGGCATCTGGCCAGGCTTGATCAAAGGGTGCTCTGCTGCCTTTCACATATCTTCTCCACTTCCGTGCTTAATAAAGAGGAGAGAACGAATGTGTGGTCATGGCAAATTGAAGAAATGAGCCATTAAAACAAGAGGGTGCACTGCTTCTTCTCACCAACACCTACTTTGGTGCTCACAATGTCTCCTAGCAAAATAGCACGAGAGGAAGGATGAAGGGCTTTCAGGGATGTGCCGTAGCTGTGGTCCAAGCTCTGAGAGACACCTGTGGCTCCCGCTGAGAGAAAACCAAACGTCATTCATCAGCAGAGAAGGCAGCAAACCACTAATGGCTTTCCATCGTCTTTTCTTGACAGGTATTGACGGAGGGTGGTTTTGGTACCATCACAACAGAAATCCGGGAGGCTCCGGAGTTTTATTACGCTGAAGATTACCATCAGCAGTACCTCAGTAAGAACCCCGGCGGATACTGCGGCCTCGGGGGAACGGGGCTTTCCTGCCCTATCGGGATCAAGAAATAGCCTGTGCTTACTCCACTGTGGTTTAGGGAGTTGTTTGAAAACAACCCTGATAGGTGTTACCGGACGCCCGTAGCATCAGATTTGGGAACCTCGGGGCAGCTTTCTGTAATCTGGGGGTTTTCCCTTTCATCGACAGTAAAAGCCAAAGTAGAGGCAGAAATCACACTGTTGGCAAATGCTTCTTGCTCTGTGCAGATCATAGGGATTCGTTGCAATCTTGTAATCTGGAGAGAAAATCAACTTATAAAAGTTTGGCTTGAAATGTTGTTAAAGGGATGAATTGCAGGGGGGTGGCACCTGCTAACCGCTTTGCGTAGCTAATGCCTACAGACGTAGATATTTTCTTGGGTTAAGGAATTTGTGTATGTTATCAGCACTTTGACTTCTGGAGACGTGGTTGGGCTCATCTTAACTATCACAACCCTGTAATTTGAGGGTTGTCTTTGAGACTGGTAAATGTATAAGATCAGTAATTCTCCCACAATTCCACTTTCACGGCAGCATGTAGTATCACCTATAGTGCCTATTTTCTGATGGAATTTTACTAAGAAAAAGTAAAATTCTATCAGGATTCTTCTTCCTGACAGTTCCAAATAGTGTTTAAGCACAAAAGTAAATAAATTTTGTTTCCTGCACTACAATAAATTGCAAGAAAAAAAAATAAATGTTGTCCGCAATGTGTTCCCTGGCTCTAAGGATCTGCACTACAATAAATTGCAAGAAAAAAAAAATAAATGTTGTCCACAATGTGTTCCGTGGCTCTAAGGACATGTATGGGTAGATCTAAAAAAAGTATCAAATATTATAGAAGGATGTAGTCTCCTAATTAAACACCAGGGCTTTTAAATCTGTAATTATTGTGTGTGACAGTACAGAGGAGTAAAATTCCTATTGTCTGCACTGTAACATAATTATTCCTATGATTGTTTGTACTTCAGTAGCTCGTGGAGCCCCCACCAAGGCCAGAGCTCGTTATGGCAGGTGCTGTGCAAACGTAACGTGGGGCAGTCTCTGCCCCACTGTGTGTCCAGGCAAAACAGCAGGACAGCCAGAACCTCATGGGGTTCAACAAGGCCAAGTGCAAGGTCCTGTGCCTGGTTGGGGGCAATCTCAAGCACAAATCCAGGCTGGGTGGAGAACGGACGGAGAGCAGCCCTGAGGAGAAGGACTTGGGGGTGTTGGTGGGTGAGAAGCTCAATAGGAGCTGGCAATGTGCACTGGCAGCCCACCAAGCCCCCCAGCCCCTGGGCTGCATCCCGGGAGCTGAGGTCATCCCAGGAACCCAACTGGGCTGGACCCCCACCCAGTGCTGCCTCCAGCTCTGGGGCCTCAGCACAGGAGGGACATGGAGCTGTTGGAGCAGGGCCAGAGGAGGCCCCGGAGATGCTGGGAGGGCTGGAGCCCCTCTGCTGGGAGGGGGGGCTGAGAGAGTTGGGGGGGTCAGCCTGGAGAAGAGAAGGCTCCAGGGAGACCTTGGAGCTGCTTCCAGTCCCTCAAGGGGCTCCAGGAGAGATGGGGAGGGACTCTGGATCAGGGAGGGGAGCCACAGGACAAGGGGCAGTGGTCTTAAACTGAAATTGGGGAGATTGAGATGGTCTATTAGGAAGAACTTCTTTGGTGTGAGAGTGGTGAGACCCTGGCCCAGGTTGCCCAGAGAAGCTGTGGCTGCCCCATCCCTGGAGGGGTTCAAGGCCAGGTTGGAAGGGGCTTGGAGCAACCTGGTCTGGTGGGGGGTGTCCCTGCCCAGGGCAGGGGGTTTTGAACTAGATCGTCTTTAAGGTCCCTTCCAACTCAATCCATTCTGTGATTCCATGATTCTGTGAATGCCCTGTAAAAGTCGGTCCGGGACACAGACAGGAATTTCACTGCTCCCCTGGTCCTATTACAGCTCAAGGAAATTCCAGGCCTCTTGGAAATCACCACGCTTCCCTCATCGCCTCAGGAAGGACAGCATCCAACTGTGATGTCAGCAGAAACGAATGGATGTTGTGATGTCACCTGGTGGTTGCCCCTGGCAGAGAGACGTTCTCACCTCTGGTGAGACCATGTCCTGAGGTGTCTGCAGAGGTGTCACCGCTCTGAACGTTGTCTAAGAGTATCGGTCGAAGACTGGGATTGAAATGCAGCTCCTTCTCTTCTTTTGTTTAACATCTCTGATCGGCAGCGTCCATGGAGGCGTTCTTCCTCATTTTTTTTCATCCAGAAATGCCCAGAAGAGCAGAACTGCCAGTAACTCTACAGGATATACACGTATGGGTAAATGAAACAGGCTTATTCCTTGTACCTGATGCCGTGTACGTATAGCTTGTCCTACAGCCTGGTGCTGAGCTCTTCCACTTGTACACCCTAAGCAAGGATTTCATCCAACCTGCCCATGGGAGATGACCTATGGCCCTGCTATCCCCCAAAACTGCCTGGACATTGCTGGGCAGGTTTGAGGAGGCTACAGCGATGCCAAGGGGCTTTGGTGGCGATTGAGTAGCACGGACAATTTCAGAGCAGTGCTTTAGCTGGTGTCCTGCCACTCTAGGTTAGTGGCACGGGCAGCACGTGAGCAACGTGTCTCATTTTGTACCCAGAGTGTGGCCTCCAACCATCTTACGAGTCCTTCCTGGAGACTGGCAAGAAGAGGACAGCGGGGAGATACGCCAAGGCTGGGGAGTTCCCGTGGCACGTGAGCATCCAGAGCCACGGGGAACACATCTGCGGAGGCGCCATCATCAGCGCGTTGTGGATTCTGACTGCGGCCCACTGCGTTGCAGAAGAAGTGTGAGTACTCAGGGGGGGGGAAGTGGGGGCAGCCCAGGCACAGGGGGTTCATAACGTCCCTCCTTGTGGGTGCGGGATGTGTATGTCCTTGGGGTCAAGTGCAACATGTAGGTGACTGGGCCAGAAAGGGAGCCCTGAACACGGGCATCACTTCCTTTGGGGAAAATGAGCCTATTATTGATCAGAGATAGTGCTACAACAGAAATGTGCAGAATTCTATGTAAACGGGAGATGCAGAAGGAGAATATTTTGAAGGATGGACTGAGCAGCCTTCTAGAAATGCCCATGATGCTGTTCTGATGGCCCTGAGCATTTCTTCTACACCTAAAAAGAAGTGTGTTCATCTAAAAAGAAGTGTGTTCATTTAAAAAGAAGTGTGTTCCATGCCAGCTTGTTCTAAGCCCCAAATTACCTTGGCTTTCATACAGCAAACACCTTTACCTCATGGAGAACCTGACTTTAAAACAGGAATTCCTGGGTAAATCAGCCCCAAGCAATGCCCAGGGGCAGAGTCCAGCTCTCTGCAACCCACCCCCTGCCTCAAAATGTGGCAGGTCAGAGAGCTGGGGGAGGGGGGACACTCTGTGTGACAAATGACCTGTGTCACCACAACCTGCGGCACAGCTGGCTGGGGGGCAGCGGGGTCTGGAGCTGCCAGCCCTGGGCACAGCGATCCCAATGATCCAGCCCATTCCATCTGTTCGTTAGCCACCGGGCTATTTATAACTTGGATGCCTTTGCATCCTACCTCTGCACCTCTCTCCCCTGAAAGTTAGCTTTGCCTAGAAGCGAGGGTATATTTCTATGATATTTATAATCAACCTGCCACCAACCTGCCCTTGCAATTTGCCGAGCATCGCCCTACGCTGCTCTGGGGGAGGAGGCACCAGCCTTTATAACAGAATCACAGAATCACATGGGGTTGGAAGGGACCTCTGGAGATCATCTCCTCCAACCCCCTGCCAGAGCAGGTCCACCCAGAGCAGGTCCCACAGGAACATGTCCAGGTGGGGTTTGAATGTCTCCAGAGAAGGAGACTCCATCACCTCCCTGGGCAGCCTCTTCCAGGGCTCTGCCACCCTCACAAGAAAGAAGTTCCTCCTCATGTTTAGGTGGAACTTCTTATATTCAAGTTTGTGCCCGTTTCCTCTTGACCTGTCACTGGGCACCACTGAAAAAAGCCTGGCCCCATCCTCCTGACACCCACCCTTGAAGTATTTAAAAGCATTGATCAGATCCCCCCTCAGCCTTCTCTTCTCCAGACTAAAAAGACCCAAATCCCTCAGCCTCTCATCGTAAGGGAGATAACACAAAGCCTTCAGGTCTGCTTATGTCTGTGCTGCTTCTGTTTTGTTTCTAAGGCCACCAGACCTCACTGTTGTGGTGGGGGGGACTGACCTCAGCCACCCGCTGGAAGAACATAAACCGGAAAACTTGATCATCCACAAAAACTTTGACAGGATGAGCATGGAAAATGACATCGCTCTGATCTTGCTGGGCTCTCCCATCGAGTTCAGCAGTGAGAAAGTCCCCGTCTGCTTGCCCTTCATCCACGACATCGACACGTGGCAGCAGTGCTGGGTTGCTGGGTGGGGATCCGCAAGTGGAGGTGAGATGCTGTTGGGAGATGTATTTGCTGATGGGGGCTCGTTTTTATCCATTTAAAGATCATTTAAGATCATCTGTTCTGGAGAAAGCTCAGTGGACTACCCTTCACAGAGCTTCCACAGGACCCCATGAAGAGTCCCTCAATCTGAGTTCCTCAGACACGTGAGCGAGAAACCCAAGGTGTGCAGTGCAGCTCATCTCAGGTCACCACCAAGAACCAGCAGGATAAGCCATCCCTTTGCGGATCTTCCTGCTCTACCACATCCCAGACTTCATCTATCATCAAAAATAAGTCATTTTTAGAATCCTATTTAGCAATCCTCCACTCCCCCAGATTTCAGCTTTACCCATTAACACCTCTCCCTTCTCTACCTGCTTACCCACCTCCTGGTCTGGCATAAAGTCAGGAGCACAAACCCATCTCTGCTAACAATTGGACAGCCCCTGTAAGCGCTTGGGGTCCCAAGACCATATGGTTGTGCCCTGACCCTCTTGCCCCAAGATGCCTCACAAATCCAGCCAAGAGCAGTCCTAAGGGCTCGTCTCCGGCTGTAGTTTCACGCTTAGAAGCCTCTGCTGCTGTCCAGGGTTTGTTAATCACTCTCTTCTCACTTCCTGGTTATTGGTGGTGGTGCCAGGATCCCACGTGCTGCAGAAGGTGCGGATGAAGCTCATCAGCAGGGAGCAGTGCTTGAAGCAGATCCCCGAGCTGGCGGAGAATGCGCTGTGTGCTAAGCTGGAGAAAGGAGAAAGAGAAGCCTGTGAGGTAAAATAAACAGGCTCCTGGACGGCCACACTGTCCACAAGGTCACAGAGACATTGAATGATTCTATGATAAACTTTAGCGGGTGCCGATGACTTCCACAAGGAGCTGCAACCACTTCCCTACTCTTTAATTAATGTTCGTTAGCTCAGGGTAGCTTCCAGCAGAAGGGGGTTCATACATTGATGACAAAGACATTTCTCAAAGTGGCGCGCACTGAGACAGAGCTTGTGGCTCATCCCCTCCTCTTACCTTCTGTATCTGTTTATTCTCCAGGGATCTCAGGGTTGAGCTGTGACATTTTGAGTCAAAAATGTCCTCGTTCCCTCAAATCCTCACAAACACAGGAAAGAGTTTGATTTTTCCCAATCCATCTGTGGGATGCAACTGTTATGAGAGACCTGAGGTTTGATCCTGCAATAACATCCTCCTTATCCCATAGATGGACAGCGGGGGACCTCTGGTTTGCAGCTACTGGAAGACCATGAAGTGGTTTCAGGTCGCTATCGTCAGCTGGGGAGAAGATTGTGCAGAAGAGCCAAACCATGAGATCTTAGTATCTGTTTACAACTACCGCGACTGGATTGAGACTGAAACAGCCAAGAGGGGGAAACCTTTCTTCACTGAAGGCATAGATATCAGTGCACATGCCAGGATGGCTCCTTCCAGGGTGGTTCCTTCCAGGGCTGAGACACAGCTGGTGTTTCTTGAGTATCCTCTTCTTTTATTTATCTCTTTAATAGCATTTAGAGTACTCTAGAGAGGATTTTTCAAAACATAATAAAAGTCAGAACTACCATCTCATTCTTCTTTTGCTGCTTACCCATATAGTCGTGTCTCAGGTCAACCTGCCCCATCTTGCTGATGTGGACACAGACACCAAAATGAGACCCCGCGGTGAGTCAGAGGAGCAAGGGAGATGCTGGAAAGATGCAATGAGAGATCCAGGACACAGGCAAGAGAAGCCATAATCCTCTGAAAAAACCACAGATTTTCCAAACTGGTGGGTCACATCGGGCCCAGTTGTTTGCTGAGCTCACATGCCAAGTCAAGATGTGGCATCTGAAGGAGCTGCTCCCCTTGGAAAGCTGAAACCCTAAGAAAGGTCTTAGCTTTTTCAGTATCTTAGCTGTTGGCAGGATAGCTCTGGGTTAATGTAACTTCCAGCTAATTATTGGCTGAATTAATATATTTTCTATCTTACCCCACCTCCTCTCTTTCCTTGCCTGTCCCTTCTGAAAAGTTGGTAGCCATCAATTGCAGCCCTCCAGTTATGCGAGTCGTCCCACCACGTTTCTGTGATGGCAACTAGATCGTAGTTTTCTTCCTGCATGATGGCCTCCAGCTCCTCCTGTTTGTTGCCCATGCTGCGTGCATTCATGTAGATACACTTCAGCCGGGCTAATCTTCCCACTATTTTTCTGGAAGGACTGGCACATTTACCTAATAGCATTGGTGCGCTGTTCCCGGGCACCACTTTAGTAGCCCTGGTTCCAACCCCGTCCCCCTTCAAATCTAGTTCAAAGCTCTCTTAATAAGCCGTGCTAACTCCTGTCCCATTATGCTTTTTCCCCTTTGGGTTAGGCTTCCCCCATCTGCTGCAAGCATGCCTGATGACCTGTAGATCATTCTGTGTCCAAAGAAGCCAAAGTCCTGCTGTTTACTCCAGTCTTTTAACCGTGAGTTGATTTGTTGTTTCTTCTTACTTATCCCTTCGTCCATCCCTATGTCTGGTGGGATAGAAGAGAACACCACCTGTGCTCCTGACCCCTTGTCCCAGAGCTCTGAAATCCCTTTTCATTGCCTTGAGGCTTTTGGTAGTCACCTCATCGTTGCCCACTTGAAATATCAGGAGAGGGTAATAATCTGATGGATGAACCAGGGAGTGGATTTTTCTTTGTATATCCTTGGTCCTGGCCCCAGGGAGGCAAGTAATCTCCCTGTGGGACGGGTCTGGCCTACAGATTGGGCCCTCTGTTCCACTGAGAAGGGAGTCCCCTATTACAATCACCCTCCTTTTTTTCTTTGTTGATGAGGTCCTGAGGCACCTGGGTGGGTGACCCATCCAGGGTGCCTCACTGGGGAGATCGTCCTCTCCAGTCTCCTTTGCCTCATCCCCAAAATCCAGGACTCCAAACCTATTTTGCAATTGTAACTGGGAGTGTGAGGGAGGCTGTTGAGGGTTCCGCTTGCCTCTCTGAGGGAGGACCAGCCTCCATTCCCCCCTTTCCATTAAGTCCCCTTTCTCTGCCTGGTGACAGGGCAAAAGGGGATCATCTACTTTTATTAGTGCCTCATCATGCTGCCTTTGTCCCAGGGTATGGCTCCACCAGTCTATTTCGTTTTCGTATTCTCTAATGCGTCTTAACCTTTCCACCTCTTCACGCAGTTCTACCACCTGTCTGAGCAGGTCATTTATCTGCTCACATCGCACACAACGGGTGTCCCTGGGTCCCTGTGGTACCGCAGCCAGGCTCAGGCATTCGGTGCAGCCAGGGCCCTGAACGGCTGCATCTTTGCGGGGAAGCTCGGTCTGAGTTCCCACATTTTTCCTCACAGGGCCTTTGGGGCGTTTGGCCGCCATTTCCTCTCTTGAGCCTGAGCGGACCATTCCCCCTCAGACTCTCCCTTTGTGTCCCGCGCACGAGTCCCCGCTCCGCCCCCTCCCTCTGCCGCTCTCCGCGCGCTCTGTCCAACAGCTGAGGTCCGCTTCCCTCACGCTCTGCGCACGTGCGCCTGCGCGCTCATATCCCCGCCTTTCTGCTCACGCGCGCCCGGCACGCGCTCGGAGCCTGTTGCGGCTATGGCCGCCCACAGCTACGTCAGCCTCTCGGCTCCCCCGCGAGATTCCCGACTGGTTTCGGGTCTCCCCGCTCTCCCTCGGCTTCCCGCCTCCGGGAAACCCCCTCTCCGTCTCAGTCTAGGTCAAATTTAAAGCCGCAGCACTCACCGCTGCCGCTGTCGCTCTCCGCGTGGTCTTCTTTCGGTCTTTTTTTGTCAACTTGCTGGTGTCCGCTGCAATTTCTGTTTTCCCATCTCAAGGGAAGAATAAAGCAGTTATTTTCCTTGCGTAGAGACCCACATTGTGAAAGATAAAGCTGGTACCCTGGGTGAGGCATGGCCTCATAGACTCCCAGGAAAGCAGGTGTATAACAAGATCATCTGTTCTGGAGAAAGCTCAGTGGACTACCCTTCACAGAGCTTCCACAGGACCCCATGAAGAGTCCCTCAATCTGAGTTCCTCAGACACATGAGCGAGAAACCCAAGGTGTGCAGTGCAGCTCATCTCAGGTCACCACCAAGAACCAGCAGGATAAGCCATCCCTTTGCGGATCTTCCTGCTCTACCACATCCCAGACTTCATCTATCATCAAAAATAAGTCATTTTTAGAATCCTATTTAGCAATCCTCCACTCCCCCAGATTTCCGCTTTACCCATTAACACCTCCCCCTTCTCTACCTACTTACCCACCTCCTGGTCTGGCATAAAGTCAGGAGCACAAACCCATCTCTGCTAACAATTGGACAGCCCCTGTAAGCGCTTGGGGTCCCAAGACCATATGGTTGTGCCCTGACCCTCTTGCCCCAAGATGCCTCACAAATCCAGCCAAGAGCAGTCCTAAGGGCTCGTCTCTGGCTGTAGTTTCATGCTTAGAAGCCTCTGCTGCTGTCCAGGGTTTGTTAATCACTCTCTTCTCACTTCCTGGTTATTGGTGGTGGTGCCAGGATCCCACGTGCTGCAGAAGGTGCGGATGAAGCTCATCAGCAGGGAGCAGTGCTTGGAGCAGATCCCCGAGCTGGCGGAGAATGCGCTGTGTGCTAAGCTGGAGAAAGGAGAAAGAGAAGCCTGTGAGGTAAAGTAAACAGGCTCCTGGACGGCCACACTGTCCACAAGGTCACAGAGACATTGAAGGAGAAGCACCTTTGCTTCAGGAATGGATATTGATCCTTCCCAAGGCTTCCTGGGGTTGCTAAAGCTTCTCTGCAGGAGGCCAGAGCAGGATGTCCAGGGGCCAAAGAACTGCCTGCAAAGGCATATTGACCTGAGCAGCAGGGGTGCTGGAAATGAAACACCTTGCTGAGCAGATGAGCCTCTCCTCATGCTCTCTCCCCTGCCCTGATTCCCTCCCTGCAGTGAGAGAGACAGGACCTCTGCGAAGGAAACCATGAGCTGAAAGGAGGAAAAGGGAAAAGGGTGGTTTCCAACAAGTCCCCTTGGGTGAGAGACAATTTTGGATGGCTCTGGGCACAGGAATTTGGACTGTTCTCTCATAGCAATTTAAAAACCCAGTGTCTGCGGCTGCCACGCGGTGGGAGCAATGGGAGGGAGGGTCTCATGCCCCTGCAGAGAGGGCCCAGCACAGCATGGGCTGTGTCCTCCTCTTGCCTGCTGCCCCCTCAGCCCTGGGCAGCTCTATCACCAGGTTAAATACTGAAAAGAGATGGCAAAGTTTGTCCACGATGGTCAAAGCAAAAGAACTGGGTGGGAAATTGAGTCCAGGAGTTTTTAATTTGAATATTATAGACCTTTCCCAGGTGAGGTCATGGCTCTGATACGACTGTTCCTTTGATAAGATGGCAGGTTTGTCTGTGGGTTCCAGATTGAGTTAGATCTTATTGCAATGAGTTAGTGATATGGCATGATGACTTTTGAAGCTAAATAGTGGACTTCAAACGGTATTTGGTATGCAGGACGGCTGAGGGGAGAGAGTTGACACAAACACCCAGGTGTGGGTGTTTCACTGAGAATTTGTGCTCTCAGAACACACTCCAGCTGTGGGGCCGCTGTCATGGCATCATAGAATGGTTTGGGTTGGAAGGGACCTTAAGATCATCCAGTTCCAACACGAGCTGGAACTCTCCTTATGCTGAACAAAGTCGAAGGGACCTTAAAGATTATCCAGTTCCAGCACGAGCTGGAACTCTCCTTATGCCAAACAAAGTTTGAAAGTCAAACCCCACCTTTGCTTTCACAGCATCCAACCTCCAACCCTCCCCTCTGAGTGCCTGGTAAGGACCAAGCGCTCCCTGCAGCCTCTGCTTCAGGATTAAGGTCTCCATCCTCCACTGGGCAAGGGTTTTCTTGGACACGTGCATGTGTTTGCAGGGGGACAGATGGACAGGCACATGTATGCACAGCTTCATCCTGCAGGAACCCATTCATTGAGGGCACTAAACCCACACCCAGGGCAGAGAGAGTGTGCAAAGCTATTGCCATCTATGCCCGTGGCTGGGCAGCAGAGGGGAAGCTTTGCTTTGCAGAATCATTTTTTTGATTAGCCAGGGAGCATCTGTCTCTGAAAGCATTCATCCAGTGACTTTCACCTCCATTAAATTCAATCAAAATTTTTAAAAAGAAAACTGCCACAGGATAACATTAACATGATTAAAGAATGCACTTCCCAGCCCAGCCTGAAGTTCTGCGGCTGAATTATGCCGGTGAAACAGCAAGAGCACTTGTACCCAGCAGAATGAATCTCCTGTATTCAGAAAGCTGATGAGGATGCTATTTTGATCTTCAATAATGTTGGAACCGTCTGAGAAATGAACTAGAAACGCGAGCTTTCCAAGCAGTGGAAGTACATGGCGATTGCTTGTGTGATAACGCTCATAACCCAGCAACTGCCCACTTTTAGTGGAAGTTTGACCAGGCAGAAACGTCTGGCAAACTGAAATTACGAGAGCAAGACAAAACCATACCCTAGGCTAGTGGAGCTCCTTAGGAGTGAAACAGGTGACACGACTTCTCAGGACCAAGCTGGATGGGGCTTTGAGCAACCTGGGCTAGTGGGAGGTGCCGCTGCCCACGGCAGGGAGATGGAATTAGATGATCGGTAAAGTCCCTTCCAACCCAAACCATTCTATGATTCTATGATCAGAATTTGGTAAATTGCTGGAGGGGAAGCATTTTGCTGATGGAAGCACTGATTGAAGTCAGGTAGGGCACATTTTGGCCTTCCTAGGCTGGTTCAGAAATCTACACTAGGCTACCTGGTAATGAAATGGGAGACCAGGTCTGAACCCCATATTCTGCAGCATGGACCACTAGACATCCAATTCATCTGCCCTGGGCCAATAGTGAGACTGTAGACAGTGCAATCTATTGAGCTATTCCTGTCTATGGAGATTATGGGGTTTGTGTCAAATGAGAGTGAGGCCAGATTTCAAAATACTTAAGTCCTTTACGAAGTCAGTGTTGTCAAGGAGGTAGAGCAGCCCTGGGCATGTCTACACCAACCAGCTGTCTCCTGGATGATTTCCAGACACAGCTCAAGCTTTTCCATGGGTCAGGGGCCACCTGCAAGAGAATCACAGAAACATAGAATCACAGAATCATAGAAGGGTTTGGGTGGGAAGGGAACTTCAAAGATCATCCAGCCCAGCAGAATGAATCTCCTGTATTCAGAAAGCTGATGAGGATGCTATTTTGATCTTCAATAATGTTGGAACCGTCTGAGAAATGAACTAGAAACGCGAGCTTTCCAAGCAGTGGAAGTACATGGCGATTGCTTGTGTGATAACGCTCATAACCCAGCAACTGCCCACTTTTAGTGGAAGTTTGACCAGGCAGAAACGTCTGGCAAACTGAAATTATGAGAGCAAGACAAAACCATATCCTAGGCTAGTGGAGCTCCTCAGGAGTGAAACAGGTGACACGACTTCTCAGGACCAAGCTGGATGGGGCTTTGAGCAACCTGGGCTAGTGGGAGGTGCCGCTGCCCAGGGCAGGGAGTTGGAACTAGATGATCGTTAAAGTCCCTTCCAACCCAAACCATTCTGTGATTCTATGATCAGAATTTGCTAATTTGCTGGAGGGGAAGCGTTTTGCTGATGGAAGCACTGATTGAAGTCAGGTAGGGCACATTTTGGCCTTCCTAGGCTGGTTCAGAAATCTGGTGGCTTACCTACACTAGGCTGCCTGGTAATGAACTGGGAGACCAGGTCTGAACCCGACGTTCTGCAGCATGGACCACTAGACATCCAATTAATCTCCCCTGGGCCAATAGTGAGACTGTAGACAGTGCAATCTATTGAGCTATTCCTGTCTATGGAGATTATGGGGTTTGTGTCAAATGAGAGTGAGGCCAGATTTCAAAATACTTAAGTCCTTTACGAAGTCAGTGTTGTCAAGGAGGTAGAGCAGCCCTGGGCATGTCTACACCAACCAGCTGTCTCCTGGATGATTTCCAGACACAGCTCAAGCTTTTCCATGGGTCAGGGGCCACCTGCAAGAGAATCACAGAAACATAGAATCACAGAATCATAGAAGGGTTTGGGTGGGAAGGGAACTTCAAAGATCATCCAGACCAACCCCCCTGCCATGAGCAGGGACATCTTCAACTAGATCAGGTTGATCAGAGCCCCATCCAACCTGACCTGGAAGTAGATCAAAGCCTTACGTTAAGCTTTTCTGAGCTTTGCTGAGAATCAGGATACATTTGTTCAGGCTAAATTTGGCAAGTTGCATGGTCCTGATCTGGATCCTAAGGATTACCATCCATTTGCCCTCTGTGCCATTTGTGTGCTAGATTTCCCCATTGAAGCAAGCTGTTTTATATGCAGTAAGTCCTCACCAAGGCATCACATAGAAGTTTTATTCTACTGACCATTGCCTTAATACTCCCCCGTGGCAACAGGACATGAATAGAAAGGCTTAGATATTTCACCAGCTGCCATCATACTAGTACCAGATGAGACTGATTTGTGGATTACTGAGCGTATTCCTATAATAACTCAAGGAGATGAAATAGCAGAGCTCGCGAGCATTTGTACTTTAAAAAAAAATCCATTCACTTAAAAGAAAAATCTATTGTATAGCAATTCCCTAGCTGTTCTGCAGACAAATATATAGATTGACTGTGAATTAACACTAACAGGATCTGTAATTGACTTATAGTTCTATTTAGTCATAAACATTAGCATTAATGGATGTTCATGGGGTACAAGTGCTAAAGAACAGACACTAGAGATGGCCTATGTGTTATTTTTTCGTCTGCTACATTTCTTCCATGACCCCATGAACCACAATTGATGTCTAATTCCTTGCTTTCTTAAGCATCTTTTGTTAGGCTCTGATGCAACAGCAACTTGAACAATAATTAGAGTATGAGGGACTCACAAAGCAAATGCCTCTTCAGTGTCTTGCCTACCCAGACAAAATTCAGTAAATGGCCCAATTATATTTCAGAGAGGTTCTGCGAAGGAGGTCTGTGGGGGTAGCTGAGCGCTGTGGTGATTAGGACAGAGTGTGTTCAGCTGGGGGGTCACAGTTCACACACAGTTCAGGTCAGCAGCAGGCGAAGGGGGGCCCAGTCCCTGGCCTGACTTTCAGGGGGAGGATTCATTGCGTGGCCACAAACAAGCAGTGGGAGGATGGTTCCAGCCCAGCGTCACCGTGCCCTACGCCGTCCTCTGGAGTGGGGCTGGTTGGACCCATGGGCTGAAGGTATCTACCCCCTTCCACTGACTGTAGCAGGAGGTGGTCTTGGTCATGATAAATACCTGAAAAGATGCTAAGATGCTTCTAGGGTTCTGGGATTGAATTTAGGTCTGTGAAAAAGGCAAGGGAGGACCTCTTCAACTCTACTATGTCCTGCCCACATATACCGTCAGCAGTTTGGGAAGGGCAAATGCCTTTATAGCATCAGGGATGCTCAGGGCCCTCACCCTGCATAGCTCTAGCAATAGCAGTAATTGGGTGGGATTTATCTGTCCAGATACAAATACCTTTCCTATAGCGATCTGCATCTACCATATCATCTTTCCATCAACTGGAAGGAAAAAAACTTCTGACATGTAAGTCATTGAGACTGTTTTAACCATCTATTTTAAATTCATTCCCCATATGAGTGCT